AACTAAAGCAAACACTGATCTCCATCATGGTAGTGTCCGAAAACAACAACCTCTAAACCTCTGTTAATTTTCAATAAGCACTTCTGTACACATCTGACAGAAATAGCATCAGTCTGGTTAGTAATGTGAAGCTGGTGATGCTGTTTTAGAAGTTGTTTAATCAGATCTTGAGAGATTTAATGTCTTTTATTTCAGTTGATTTCATCTAAGGCTGTGGCTGAAGTCAGTTGTAGTTCTTGTTTCTCTTTCATTCAGTGATTCTGTTTGTTAACAGCAGCTGTTCATCACTAATGCACAATCATCACTTAATTAATCACAGAATTATCTCATTAACTTCAGCACTGCTTCACTCTGTAGTGTGGACACATTATAAGTGTTCATTTAAAACTGAGGATTTTGTTGTGGGGTTTAAAGGGTTAAAGATGTAAGATGGAAAAAAAACAGCATGAAATGTAATTTAACAGTAATAAACTGTAATTATTTTACGGCCACAAACTGTAAAAAAACAGTTATTTACTGGCAGCACGGTTGCCAGTAAATAACTGTTTTTCTACAGTTTGTTGCCGTTAAGTCCAGGAAAAAACAGCAATATACTGTAAAACGTAAGAGTCAGATTTACCAAATGAAAAAAGTTAATTTGACTGAAATATTTGTGAACATCCATAGAAAAAAAGTTATGCAAAGTCATGAACTGATAAGGAGAGTAAATATTTAACTGAACTGTATTAATGTGTTTTTGCACAAGAGAGATCTGTTAGTTTAATGTAGTTTTGTGGGTCACCATTGTGCTGGAGAGTAGAGCCTGTGCTTCAGTCAATGTCAATGATGAGACACAAACACTGATGTGCTGCTGTTTTGTTTAAAGACAGTAACTGAAAGAGATGGTTACTCAATTCCAAATTCCACAGTGATCAACAAGTGTTTTAGTACATGTGTTTTTACTATTGTTAACTAATGAATTTGAGTAATGAGTAAATGTCATGTTTTGTTTGCTTTGTTATTACACTTTAAGTGTTTGCGGTTTTATTTTAAGAAGTATTTCTTCTTAGTGGATTCAAATGAAATAAGTTTGCTGTACTAACACCATATAAACACCAGTTTTTTTTTAAAACTCAAATGGTTTTAAGCAATTGGTTTCCCAAATGAAATGAATTACCACATGGTATAATAATGGTAACATACTGTAAAAATGAAGAGCTTTAAATTAACGGTACAATGCTGGCAACCACAGCTGCCAGTAGATTACTGTTATTTTACAGCGCAATTCTTTTACAGTGTGCAATGAAATTTCAGCAAAATGGACTAGCCTGCTGCATAATTTTTTCACATTGATTATCGGGGTGTCTTTGAATTCAGCCCTCTGTAGGTTGATCATTTTCATTTCCATCAAACGATGTGGCATCCTTTCATTCCTAACACATTACCCAGTCCATATCAGTATAGATATCCAGCATAATATTTTTCCCCATTGAGATCTGATGTGTTTTCAAAGTGTTCCTTAAATTTTTTGAGCAGTATCCTTCCCCAGCTCCACCTGTATAGATCTGCTACAGGGTGACTCGTGTATGCTATATGGGGTTAATTTATATACAGTATGTTATGTGCAGCAGCATGCTCACAGCAGCATGTTCTGGATGTATTGGAAGTAGCAAGTGTTGGAACCTGCTCAGTATGGACCGAGGTTACCCTCACCGATGTGCTCAAAGTCATCAACCGAGGTCAGAACTGGAAATCTCCAGGTCCAGACATGTTGCAAAACTTTTGGCTCAAGAGTTTCAACACTATACACCAACACCTGACAAGAGCAATGAATGAAGTTCTGTGAGACCCAAGCTCCATCCCCGAATGGGTGACGACCGGAGTCGCATTGTGTCTGTACAAGAGCAAAGCTCTGTACAACAACATCCCTCATTCATGTATCCTGGAAGCCCTGAAGATCTATCGAGTGAGTCTCACCATCATTTAGTTAATCAAAGCATCAATAAAGGAATGGAAGTTAGAGATGCATCTTTTCCACCAGAATAGCAGCATCAGGACAGGATCAATCTCCATCAAGTGGGGACTCTTCAAAGGTGACTTACTGTCTCCCTTGCTGCTCTGCCTCAGCCTCATACCTCTCTTGAAAATGCATAACAGGCAAGGTATCAGATATGCAATTCGACAACAAGAACATCATGAGCCATCTGTTCTACATTGATAACCTCAACATCTTCGGTAGAGACGAGAAGCAGCTCATGCAGGCAATGCACACCATCAAGACGTTCAGTGACTACATCTGTATGGAGTTTGGACAAGACAAGTTCAATTCAATTAAAATCACATTTATTTGTATAGTGCTTTTCATGATACAAATCGTTGCAAAACAGCTTCACAGAAAAAAATTAAGTTTCTACATTTTTTTTATTGAGGAGTAGCTAATCAGTGCGCAACTATTATCTTCATAAGAGGTGTACGAGTCAACAGCTACAACATCCAGCTGAGCGGGGGTTCATCCGTCAACAACCTTGGGCAGGATGAAGTGTACAAGTATCTGGGCATCGACAAAGGTGAGGGTATTCAGTACAATGAGATGAAGAGTAAGATCATCAAGGAGTACTATCACTGAGTCTGCCTGGCACTTAGGAGCAAGCTCAACCCCAGAACAAGATCAGCGCCATAAACAATTTATGTCCTCACATACAGTGGACTGGAGAGTAGAAGAGATCAGGAAGATGGACAGGAAGATGAGGAAATTGTTAATGATGCACGACATGCACCATCGTAAAGCAGACACAAACTAGTTGTATATCAAGAGATGTGACAGTGACCATGGGCTTATTAAGCTGGAGTCTTTGTACAACATTGCCATCGTCGCCTTTAGCAAATACTTCAAATGAGGTAGCGCCAAGCTCACGAAGATAGTTAAGCATGAAGCCAGCAAAACCAAGTACTCCCTAACAAAGATGGCGAATGAGATTCCTTTCTATGAAGCCCATATTTATAATACATTATAAGGGTATTTTTAAGGCATTACAATGAATGCATAATGCATTATAAAAAACCTTATATATCATATTTTAAATAATCATAACAACAATTATGATACATTATAATACTTACACATTTGTGGTTATAACTTTTAAGATTATGATTATTTATAACACAATGAACACCATATAAAATCTAATGAGAGCATGTTCTAGTACACCCCCAAAACAAAATCAAGACTTTGTAAAAGAGCATAATAGGACCCCTTTAAGATCTGCACAGTATCTTACTACATCTTGTGAGTGGTTAGGTGTTGAGTGTTATTTGAGAGTTCCCTGTGAGGGTAATGTTAATTTTGATGTGAGCTAGTTAATACTTTCAACTGGGAAAAAAAAATCCCAATTAGTCTATTGACTATAAGCAACTTTGCAAGTACATGTCAACTAATTCTCATTAGAGTATTAGTAGGCTTAGGTTAAGGTTAGCTTAGCGTAGGTAGAATGTTGACATACTTAAAGTTAAAGTTACATACAAAGTTACTTATAATCAGTCTGTCTGTTGGGGAACTTTCAAAATAAAGTGTTAGCATATATTTAGCAGACATACTAAACTAATACTCCAATGACTGCTAGTTGACATGTAGCTGCAGAGTTACTTATCAACAGCTGTCTAAAGGGTACACAGTAAAATCCAGAGTGTTAAATTAACTGCTTGGAGCATATATGGTCCCACTCTAAAAGAGTGTTAGCATATGAATCTCAACAATGGTGATGATCATCAGACAGATTCATGTTGCATTGCATTCTGGGTGCACCAATCATAACTCATCCATGGCTGCCACCATGCATTGCGACATGAATATATTATGCAGCTGCATTGTCTTAGTATTTTATTTTATTTTTACTATTTGCTTTTATTTTTGTTATTGTTTGTTGTGACTTTTTACTTCCTTGTTTTGTGACGTTCAAAAATCACATAAAAAAATATCAGAATATTTTGTCACCATTGTTGAGATTCACATGCTGATTCTTCATGTCTATGAGTGCCAGAACTGAAACGTCTTTATGAACTGTATTTATAAAAGTCGTTTATGAAGGTTTTTCTCACATTATCTCATATTACAGCAACAATATAGAAATCATAAAAGCATAAAAACAGTTTTAGGTAAGTTGCAATCAGAGACTCATAAACATGACGTGATTTTACCATAAGCGCCTTCCCATCACATATGTGTTTAATACACACAATTGTGCCAGCCAAAGAGAAACTTAAATTTACAAAGTCAAGGGTCAAGAGGCAACTAAAGCAACCACTATTCAGAAAAACAGTAAGTTAACTGAAATAAAAGAAGACATTAAATCTCTCAAGATCTCAGCAGAAGATGATTGAACAACTCTACAAACAGCATCACCAGCTTCATGCATTACTAACCAGTTTGAATTTGTATTTGTCATGTGTAAATTGTTTTTTTTATTAAGAATTATCAGAGATTTAGACGTTGATGTTTATTGAAAATAATACAATTTGAGATCACCGTTGTGGAGATAAGTGTTTTAGTTGGGCCCTTGACCCTTGACTTTTTAACATTACTTTTTCTCTGGTTGCTATTACAATAAAAATAGTTCAAAGCAAATGTGTCATATTACACATTCATCTGATCTAATATCTGATCTTATGGCTGTTTGAGAAAATATTATTATTATTATTATTATTACTACTAATTATAAGTGGTCTTTGTTTGCTTTAAGTAAAGTAGCATAAGAAAGATAGCAAGGCATGAGACTTATAATACATTATAACTATGAGAAATTGGATGCATTGTGCTCATTGAGTATTATAAATCATCATACTCTTAAAAGCTATAACCACAAATAATTAAATATTATAATACATTCAAACTGTTCTTATGAATATTCATGAGATGATATAACATATTATAAGTTTTTTTTTATACTGCATTATGCATTCATTATAATGCCTTAAGAATACCTGTATACGGTATTATAAATATGGGCTTCATCGAAAGTGTTACCAGAATATCAAACAAGATCGGATTGAGTGTGAGAAGGAGAAGGCTTTCCACAGCAAGTTCTTCAAATAACTGAATGAGACGTTTTTAGACAAGAAAGATAGTCTAGCTAGGCTCAGAAGTTATGATGTTGTGCAATGCAAACCTGCATGATCGAGCTGTCTTTACAATGTGGTCCTTAAAGGTCAGCTAGTCATCAAAGATTACTCCGACATTTCTGACCGAACTTGGTAGGGTAATAGTTGATTAACCGCCAGGCAGCCAGGTCCTTTGTACAGTACATCCGGAAAGTAGTCACAGCTCTTCACTTTTTCCACATTTTGTTATGTTACAGCCTTATTCCAAAATTGATTAAATTCATTAATTTCCTTAAAATTCTACAAACAATACCCTATAATGACAACGTGAAAGAAGTTTATTTGACATCTTTCACATTTATTAAAAAAACAAAAAACATGTACATAAGTATTCACAGCCTTTCCCATGACACTCAAAATTGAACTCAGGTGCATCCTGTTTTCACTGATCATCCTTGAGACGTTTCTACAACTTGATTGGAGTCCACCTGTGGTAAATTCAGTTGATTGGACATAATTTGGAAAGGCACACACCTGTCTATATAAGTTCCCACA